GCCCCCGCCCCGACGGGAACCCCGATATCGGGCCGGGACGCCCGTCCGCCACCCCGGAGAAGCTTCGGGTTGGGGTTCGCGCGGGGCGAGCGCTGGGTTCGGTTGGGGTCCCATGCGGTCTGGGTTGGGGTCGGTTTGCGGCGCGGTTGGGGTACTCTGCGGTTGGGGTTCGCTGTGAGGGTTGGGGCTGCGGGAGCGCTGCGGTGAGGTTTGGGACCCGGTTCCGCGATCCCTAGGCCTCCTTTAAGGTGCGGTTTGGGGACTCCCGCGCCCCTCCTGCACAGGGCCAACCCCTGCCACGCAAGGCGCTGGCCCCGCCCCTCTCCCCGCAGACCCCGCCTCCCCGCACACCCCGCCCCTCCAGCGGGCCCCTCCCCCAGATCCTGCCCATCTCCTTACAGACCCCGCCCCTCCCGCAGGCCCCGCCCCTTCTTCCCCAGGCACGCAGCTCCAGGGCCCCTGTGCTCTTTTCCCAGTAACAAGGTTCCCACCCCCTTGTAGTTTCCGAGCCCCATTTCCCTCAGGGCCGCAGCCCTGAGCCCCGCCGCCCCGCTGAGCCCCGGGACCCCACCCCACCTGCGAACCCTGAATCCCCAGCGTCCGCCCGCCCCGTGACCTGGACACCCTCTCCCCGCCCAACTGCGCCCTAACTCGGGGTTCCCAGGGACAAAACCCCCACCCCCAACCCCCCACCCCCAACCCCGCTCTGCTCTGCAGCGGCGCGGTGACCCCTCCCGCTCCGTGGGGTTTACCACCAGTGGGGGAGTTTCGGGTGGGGGCGAGGGCTGGGGCTGAGTTGGGTTAGGGTCAGAAGAGGGTTTGGATAGGGGTGGGGTTGGGGGAGGGTCAGGTTAGGTTAGGTTTGCGGGGAGAACTGGGTTAGGTTGGGGTTGGGATGGGGTCCAGGGTAAAGGTTGGGCGTGGTTTGAGGTTTGGGGCGCGTTTTAGGTTACATTGGGGTTGGGGTTGGGGTGGAACGAGGACTAGGGTTAGGCTTAAGGTTGCCTTGAGGACGAGTTTTGGAGTTAGGGTTGAGTCTAGGCCTTGGGTTGGGTTGGGTTTATTTTATTTATTTATTTTTGTCTTTTTGAGACAGGGTCACGATATGCAGTTCAGACTGGCCTGGAGCTCACTTTGTAGCCCAGTTTGGTTTCGAACTCACAATGACCCGCCTGCTTCAGCCTCCCGAGGGCTGGGATTATAGCCGTGCACCGCCACGCCTAGCTGGTTTGAGTGTAGTGTTGGAAAGCGGATTCGGGTTGGGGTTAGGTTTTGGGCGAGGGTTACAGTTAGGGTTAGGGTTGCGTCGCAGGGAGGGTAGGGCGGGGATTTGGGTTGGATTCCGCTTTGGGACGTGCATTATGTTAGGTCGGGGTTGCATTGGGGTTAGTACTGCGGCTAGGTTTGGGTGCGGTTGGGGCAAATGTTAGGATTTGGGTTAGGGTTGGGGTGAGGGTGCTCGGTGCTGCAGTACATATACGAAATAATAGGACTGGGTGAGGGCTAGGGCTGAGGTTAGGTTAGGGTTAGGTTAGGTTAGGGTCGCTGGGAGGGTAGGGTTGGGTTTGGAGTTTGGGTGGTGGGATGGTTAGGTTTTTCTGGTTGGGTTGGGATAAGGATTAGGTTAGGTTATGATTGGGGCGAGGGTTTTAGTTGGGTTCAGATTTGGCATGTGGTTTAGGTTATGTTCGGGTTGGACTCGATTAGGGTTGGCGCGAGCGTTAAGAGTTGAGCTTGGGTTCTCGTTTGGGGCATGGTTTGCGTTAGGTTGGGGTTGGGGTTCTGTTATCCTTGGGGCAAGGGTTAGGGTTGGGATGCGGGTTGGGTTAGGGTTGGATGAGATCTAGGGTTCGCGCTGGGGTGAGTTCTAGGCTTAGTTTAGGTTAGGGTTTCAGCGAGCGCACCAGTTAGGTTTGCTTAGGGCTAGAGCCAAGGTTGGGGTTAGGGCTTGTTTCAGGACAGGGCCTCGGTTTGGGGCGCCATGCCTTCCTCGGCCCTCGTTTGCTCGCAGGAAGAATGGAACCCTGACTTTAACTAACCCTTGCTGGCCGGGCTTGATCCAGCTCCTCTGCAGCACCTGCCCTGCCCTGCCCGCTGTCCAGGCCCCATGAGTACCCCCAGCACCCCGGAGGACAGCTCGGAGGAGGACCCGGCAGGAGCCGGGCAGAAGTCCAAGGTAGATGCTCCGAGGAGGGGAAGCGAGGCTGGGCCGCAAAGCATCAGCCCAGGGTTGTGGGGACCAGACCCCGGATGGGGCCTTGAGTCCTGGGCCCCAGGGAGCCTCATGTCACAGCCTCCGACAGCAAGGAGCTGGGGCCATGCGTGTGCCCAGAGTTACAGCGCGTGTCGGGAGGGACGGTGTGCTTCACAGGGACGTGCGAGCCAGGTTGGGAGCCCCCTGCGGGCACGATGGAAGGAGGAGGAGCTCCATCTTCGGACCTGTGCTAGCAGGTCACAGGGACTCTCTTTTCCCCAGGTCAAAGATGCTTTCAAGGACATTTCCAGATACTTCTCCAAGGAAGAATGGGCCAAGATGGGAGAGTTTGAGAAGAAACGCTACCGCAACGTGAAAAACAGCTACACCATGATGCTTTCTATAGGTAACAAGAGATGGTGGGCAGGACCAGCCTAGGAGACAGAAGTAGGCCTCCCTCCAGGCCCTGCGTCTCCACGGTTCTGTCTTAACCAGCACGCAGTCCTCTCTCCTTAAGAGTCCAGGCTCGAGGGAAGCTTTGTTGTATGGCTCGGGGCAGAGCTGAGCGCGGCGCTAGCCCCAGCCCACCTGGCCTTTGTGTCTTTGCACTGCCGCTGCCTCTGTCCCTGCTCCCTCGATGTCCTTCCCTTGTCATGCGGAAAGTTTGGATCCTTCCCAGGTCTCAGAGCCCACCGACCAGCTTTCATGTGTCGTGGAAGGCGAACCAGCAAACCCCAGCTGGATGACTCTGAGGATTCTGACGAAGAATGGATGCCCCGGCAGCAAGGTGAGGCCAGGGACTTGCAGGGCACCTCCCGCAGTAGGGCCAGACCTGGCTTTCAGATAGGTCTCAGAAGGAAACTAGAAGGAAGGTCTCCTAGAAAACATAGGTGATGGCGAATAAGCAATATGCAAAACAATATATACGATAAGAGGCTATTTCTATTTGTTTGGGATTTTGAAAGAGAAATAAAAAGATGGGAAAACAGTTGTGGTGGAATTCTGAGATCAGATTAAATTAGGAAGGATGTCCAGGGTCTCCAGTGTCATCTGCATACTATTTCTGTTTTTAATTTATCATTTTTAAAAGAACGTTGTTTCTAAACATTGTTAATCAAAAGATGATTAAAGAAACCTCAACTGAGGGACAAATCTCTCTCCAAATCTCTCTCTAACACTATTATAATAGTTTGGTCATTGGATTAGATGTCTTGGAAAAGCAAGTGATTAACATCATATAAAGACACATAGGCTGGGCATGGTGGCACATGCTTGTAATCCCAGCACTCGGGAGGCTGAGGCAGGAGGATCATTGTGAGTTTGAGACAGAGTGAGCTGAAGGCCAGCCTGAACTTTGTAGTGAGAACCTGTCTCAAAACAAACAAGCAAACAAAGAAATAGAAAGGAGATGCTCACTTCCTCTTTACTGCTTAAAGAGGAGAGTTGAGAAGAGCAGAGAGTCAATATACCTAAACCAATGAAAGCAACTTGAATCAGGTCTGTGACCCCTCACCTATGGATTTTGGGTGCTTTAGACTCTTGACACTTACGTGAGAGGTTTGAAAACCCTGTGTGTGCTTGTGAAGGTTCTGAGGTGAAAAGACAGCCTCCGTGGGAAACATATCCCCCATGGCTCACCACATATCTGCACATGTTTATCTGGACTCATGTAAAATGTCCAGCCAAGTCAATCTATTGATTTCACATGTAACAGTAAGAAATCACACAACATACACTTTCACTTCTAACAACTTGTAAGTGCACGCTATTGTTAACCATTTGTGCATTGTTGTGAGCAGAGCTCCACAACTTTTTTGTGCTGTGTGATTGAAAGTCTATACCCCATGAATAACAACACCCCATTTCTCTTCCTCTGAGACCCTTGGAGGCACAACTGTACCTTCTATGTCTACTTTTTGTTTCTAGATGCTTCATAGGTGTGAAGTATTTGTCTTTTTCTAACTGGCTTATTTGCTTAGCAAAACATCTTTGAGTTTCATCCCTGTTGCAGTGTGTAACAGATTTCTTTCTTATTCCAAGAGAAGTAATAGCTCATTGCACGCACTTGACTTATTTTCTTTATCATTCATTGTCAAGTGGATATTTAGATAACTTCTGTTTCCCTGACCTCTATATGTAGAGATGATTTCCTTCTACTCGTAGGATCATTGTCATTAGTGTCAATTGATTCCAGTTTTTAAAATAGATATAACCAGTATCTTATAAACACAAGTGGTGAGCAAGTGGTGAGAAATGGGGTTGTGTCTGATTTTTAAAGGCGTTGAAATAGAGTTAATGATGCTCTTTGTAGACAAAAAGGCCATAGGGGTTTTTAGAAACTTCTCATATCACCCATGGATCATCCTGTGGGTCTTCACTATGTGGTTCAGAATTCTGTGTCACTAATAAGACACTCCGTGGGCTGAGGATGTGGCTTAGTGGCACAAGCACCTGCTGGTTAAGCACAAGGTCCTGAGTTTGATTCCTGGTACCAAAAAAAAAAAAAAAATTAATCGCCAGCATTTGGAGACATTTACTAACCAAAGCCCTGATTTCTCGTCACTTTTTAGTCAAACCTCCTTGGGTGGCCTCTCAAGGGAAGCAGAGTAAACACTGGAAGGTGAGTGTCTCCCATGTCCTACTGACCAGAAACTTCCTCCTCATCCTGGGCCAAAACAGAGGTAAGACAAGAAGGTGCAGAGCACCCTAGGGACAGCTGCTTCCCTTCGTTCACTTCTTCAACACAGTGTCTGCTGTCCTTAATTTTAGGCTTGTTTGTTTGTCTGTTTCGAGACAGGGTCTCGTTCGGTAGTTCAGCCTGGCCTTGAACACACTGTGTAGCAGAGGCTGGCCTGGAACTTGCGGTGATCCTCCTGCCTCAGCCTGTCCTTGCTGGGATTACAGGTGTGCATCACTGCACCCAGCTGTTATCATTTTTAGGAAGAATAAGAGCAGAAAAAGCAATTGCTACCTCTTGTTTGATTTTCATGATATTTCAGATAGTGATTTTAATGTATAAGCCCACTTGAACCTTACAACAACACTATCAGGTAGGTAATACCCTATAATCCTATATAGAGAAAGAAACTTAGGTAGGGAAATATTCTACTGGGTGAGTGAGCTCACAGTCAGCGATGGTCTAACCTAAAACACCCTCTCTGAAGCACATACAAGCTCACTGAACTTTTAGCATGCTGTGAAGTTGGTGCTCTGTTTTCAGGACACCTCCACACCATCCACCCTATTATTCCAACCTCAGTCGTCTGCTGTGCCCCAGTGAGAGAACTGAGACACTCTGAGGGGCTCACAGATACACAGGCAGATACTGTACTGGAGACCAACCAGATGGAGGCTGAGACAGACCTCCCCAAGCCCCCAGAGGGGCCCATTCCGTGGGAGGAAGCAGCTCCAACCCTGGGGAGTTTCAGATTTGATGCCTGAGAAATGACAAGAAGGTGATAGGACTGCAGAAAGGTCACACACTATTCGGGAGAAAGGTGTCTTCCCAGAAGGATTGGAGACGCTCATGCTATGGGAGGAAGGAGCTTCTCCAGCCTGAGGCAACTCTTACATTGTCTGGAATGATTGTTTCAGTTGTCACCTTGACTTGTGATCTTGTGGGGACACTGGTCCATCCCTGACACGCTGGTCCTTCCCTGACACTTCACCAAGGGTCCTTGAAGGCCCTCAATGTGTTCAAAATGAGCAGTTCCCAGTTCACAAATTAACAGGGTCAAGGAGGGCCTAAGATAAAGACTTTGAGCTAGGATTTTATTGCAGAGTGGCTGAGGAGGTCACGTGACAGCAGCACTGTGAGTGGGATGGCTAACCTCACATTATGCTACATCCGAGAGCTTATGACACACCTGGGTGAGCATTCTTACCTTTCACATTCACTGTCACTTAAGAATTACGATATACGCCACCTTGTGGATCAGGAAACTGAGGAGAATTAGAGGATTTCAAGCAAGATTGGTATAGGAACCAGTTCATGTAATTCCGCAGCAAGTGCTGCAAGGGCAGGGCACGCTGAGCCTTTTAGCATCGTTGTCTCAGTTGCGCAGGTGCATTTCTCCAAGCATTTCCTCCGCCTCTTCCCGGCTTCACTGGCAGCTCGCCTCATTTCCAGGTGTGTCTCTTCCCCTCTCTGCTTTTTTGTTTGTTTGTTTTTTTTTTTTTTTTGGTCTTTTTGAGACAGGATCTTATGCTGCAGTTCAGGCTGGCCTTGAGCTCACTTTGTAGCGCAGGATGGTCTCGAACTCACAACGATCCTTCTGCTTCAGCCTCCTGAGTGCTGGGATTACAGGCATGTGCCCCCACACCCAGCACCCTCTCTAATTTTCATCATGTCCCCTCCCATCGAATGTTTCCTCCTTCATGCAAAATGCCTTCTGTTTCCCCACAAGGTGCACCCCCTTCATTCACGTCTCCGTTGACTCGCTCCCTGGTCTTCCCAAGTACCCACCCTCCCTTAGTCTCGCTTGTGTGGATTTGAGAGGAAGCTGGCAGGACAGAGCCCCAGCACATGGGTTCCAGTCCTGGATTCACAACCCACCGGGGCTCCTGCACTTGCCAAATGCATTCACACACCCAGGAGACTGCAGGCTGTTGGAGTAGAGCCGTGCATGTGAAATCAAGCCCCACACCCTAAAGAAATGAAGCCCTGCATGGTGCTGACATGTGCGTCTCTCGTTCAAGGGAATGCCCAGGGCCCTGTTAAGTGACGGTCCTAGTTTCAAGCAGTTGCCAGGACCAGCAAATTTACAGGACCCGAGCGACTCAGAAAAGCCCCAGACACCAGAGTCCTTTCCCAGAGAAGGGAAAAACACCGGACAGCACTCTAGACGAAAACTCGGTAAGAGAAGGCGCTTTTGCATGTACACCCAGTCCTTCTAGGCCCTCTACAAAGGATCGTGAGGATGGCCCAGAGCTGTGAAGCTGGCTTTGGGTGGGCTGGCCTCGGGCAGGACTGAGCAGGGGACCACCAGTTGGGCCGTGAGAGCAGTGCGTAGGAATTTGACTTTAAATCACTCACTTGGGTTTTAGCCACATAGGGCGGCTGGGGACTTGGACACATCTCGTGGACTCTCTGAGCTTCTAACTGCTAGTCAGTAAATAAGCATAAGGGTGCGTAGCCCCTCTGTCCTCTGGCAGCATTAAGCACACTCTACAACAGCTGATACATACCGGCAAGGTGCCCATGCACCCGTCTATGGCGGTAGCTCTGCACACCCTAGTGCTGCCCGGTGAGGTCTTTCTGCCCTGTGCTCTGCACGTGGCCCTGGACAGCTAGAAATGTGACCCTCGGGGTGAGCAGGGATGCAGTGTGAGGAAGGATGGGTGAGAATTGGGCGGTAAGAGATGTCATGTTTTCTGAAGAAGCAGGGACAAACACCCCGGATGGCCGATGTTCATCTTGTTCTGTGCTTCACCTTAGAGCCCAGGAAAAAGGCAGTTAAGCCGAAGATGTACAGCCTGCGAGAGAGAAAGTGTCATACGTATGAAGAGGTCAGCGAGCCGCAGGACGACGACTACCTGTGTGAGTGACGCTCTTGGCCTGCTCCCCAAGGAGGAGGTGCAGCTAGGTATTCACGCGGTCATTTGGGGCTCAAGTTGCCCCTCATTCTCGTCACATGGAGTCCAGAATTGAGGGCAGAGGATAGGGGTGCTAGGCTCATCCCGAAGCTCACATAGGGTGCCGTTCCTAATCCCTGCCACTCTCCCCTCAGATTGTGAGAAGTGCAAGAACTACTTCATCGACAGCTGTCCTGTTCACGGGCCCCCGGCGTTTATAAAGGACAGCGTGGTGGACGAGGGGTCTTCCGACCGCGCAGTGCTCAGTCTGCCCCCCGGGCTGAGGATAGGCCCATCCAGCATTCCAGGGGCTGGGCTCGGAGTCTGGAACGAGGCCTTCGATCTGCCGTTGGATCTTCACTTTGGCCCCTACGAGGGTCAGATCACAGAGGACGAAGAGGCAGGCCACAGCGGATACTCATGGATGGTGAGGTGCCTTCCTTCCCTGTGTCCTGGCACTGCTGCCCCCCCCATGTCCCTGCTGCCATGTGGGCACGGACAAGGTGCTTAGCTCTGTGTGTGGAATGGTCCTGGAAGGACCACAGAACCCCAGCTTGAGGATCAGATGCTGCGTGGGAGCGGAGGCGCACAGTAGACGCGCCCTGCCTCGGCCTCGCCCGCGTGTACGTGCTGGGGGGTGGTCGGCAGGCTGACGGGCACGGGTGACAGTAGGGTCACGTAAAGCGGTCGGTTATCATCCCTCCCAAGGGAGAACTTTAACTCCTTTTCCCAAACTCAGATCACCAAGGGCAGACACTGCTACGAGTACGTGGATGGCAAGGACACGTCCAAGGCCAATTGGATGAGGTGAGGACGGCAGGTTTCCGGGTCCCACGCAGGACATTCATCCCTCAGAGCCCGGTTCCTTTCCTTCCCGTCCTGCCTCCCGTGTCGGTTCTCACCTGCCTCTTCTGTTTTTTCTGTACTCTATGCTCTTCCACATCGTGAACATTCCAGAAAAAGGAAATAGATACATAAATAGCATAATTTACCTTTCATCACAAAGAACATCTTCAGGCTAGACAAAATTCAGACCCTGGGATAAATCTGGAGAGCTTGGTTTCACTGGTGACATGGGATTCACACTTTATTCAACATTGGTTATTTATTTATTTATTTTTGTCTTTTTGAGACAGGGTCTCACTATCCAGTTCAGGCTGGCCTTGAGCTCGCTTTGTAGCCCAGGCTGGCCTCGAACTCACAACAGTCCTCCTGCCTCAGCCTCCCGAGTGCTGGGATTACAGGCGTGCACCATCAACGGTTATTGAGGCCCTGCCGTGCTCCGGCTCAGGAAGTGGACTTCCTTATGGAACAGAGGCCCGTGTGGCTGTGGAGGGCCCAAGGCAGAGTTGCCCGAGAGGTTTTACTATAGGAATATTTACCTGTAACTTGGAAGTTTCTTCAAGAAGCACAGGGCACCAGGACAAGTGACAGCAAGGGACCTTTAGGCGGAGAGGGCCTCAAAGACACCAACACTGGCCCCAAGCCTGGGGAGAAGTGGGCTGCCGGAGCTGGGGTCGCTATGCTGAGTGTCCCGCTGATTTCCACGAGGGGCCCTTGCTTTATCAGAGAGGCTAGAGGGTAGGGACACACTGCTGCCGTTCTGTGTCACTGTGTAAGGCAAACAGAATTTTCCACCGGCACCTGGGGGAGGAGGCAACATCCCGGGCAGGTGATCCGGGACTCTCTGAAGACAACTTGGGCCGGGGTGGCATGGCAGGGGCTACTCCAGAAGCAGAGTCCACGCCCGGCACCAAGTTCCACGGGAGAACCGCACACTGATTTACAGTTTAGAAAGGCAAGGGGTCCCGGGTTCTACCCCAGTGAGGAGGAGGGCAGTCTGGGGTTGCACATGGAACACTGGGAACTGAGGTGGGAGACATTGGAGGACTCGGAGCTCAGTGGGCACAGGACTGTGGAGAAGAGGCCGAGGTGAGGACAGGAGGTGCCCCCAGGAGTCGGGGGCGGTGTCAGAGCAGGCCAGTGTCCACCGCTCAGTGAACGGCTGGACGCAGATGGGACAGGGGGCACGAAGCGAATCACCCGCTCTTTCGGCCTCAACCGCAGGTATGTGAACTGCGCCCGGAATGAGGAGGAGCAGAACGTCGTGGCCTTTCAGTACCACAGGCAGATCTTCTACCGCACCTGCCAGGCCATCGGGCCGGGCAGCGAGCTGTTCGTCTGGTACGGGGACGAGTACGGCCATGAGCTGGGCCTCAAATGGGGCAGCAAGTGGAAGAAACATCAGGCAGCTGGGAGAGGTAGGCAGCCCTGGGGTTCCTCAAAAGAAAAGAAAGGAAGCCTCTCCCAGGAATTCTCACGCTAAACCTGTAAGAGGCTGCTTCAGTCTCCAGTGAGAGAGGGGCGGGCAGGGTGACGGTAGGCGTCAGAGGGAAGACGCCTGAGGCGGGACAGATGGTGAATCAGGACTTCCCTGTGTTGGAAACGGCTTAGACGTGAACTAGGCCCAGTGTGTGAATGCTTGGCGTGAGCCCCAGGGAAGGACATATTTTCACCTGGTGATTCGGGGAGCACAGAAGAGAAGCCATTCCTGGCCGTGATGTGGCTGTGGGACCCACAGCCCTTTACCCAAGAGGAGTGGGACACTGGGCCTGTCCTGCTTGACTCCTGCTTCCTGATGGAGACCCGGGCAGAGGGGAGTCTTCACACGTGTCACTTTGCATGTGAGACTCACTGTCAGCTTTCCTCATACATGGAGCCCTACGCAGCGTCCCATAGCTGGGCATCTCCGGGTTGGGCGGACGCTAAGGTCTGGCCCGTTTAGGGAGGCAAAGGAGAGCTAGGCTGGAGCTGCTTTTTTCTCTTGCAAAGGGCAGGGGAGCTTTGGAGCGACTGAGTGATTTATCATCGGGATCCCTGTCCCCTCCCAGGAAAAGCCACTAAGGACACTTGCACCTAAGTCATCAAGCCCCGTTAGTTCTCAGTGGGATCGAAAAACAGCGGAGCAGGCATCCGGAAAGGGCCCTGGATCTGGGTGAGGGCCGTGGCACAGGGCGGCCAGGGAAGACAGGAAATGACGCAGGAGATGACTGCAGTGTGCGCGGCAGGGCTCCTGCAGCTCCACGGGTCCCTTGCGCTGCCCAGGGAGGCCTGTAGTCCGCTTGCCATGTAGGAAAGGCCCCTGTGCAGGTTGTGTGGATTTCAGCTTTTGGAAAGTAAAATCGGATTGGGAAAAGCATGCGGGCAGCTGTTGGTGGGGCAGTTTGTGCAGTGCTGTCGACCTGTGTAGCGCTCTCGGCCTGTGCAGTGCTGTCACCTTGTGTGGTGCTGTCACCTTGTGCAGTGCTGTCACCTTCTGTGGTGCTGTCACCTTGTGCAGTGCTGTCACCTTGTGCGGTGTTGTGAGCCTGGGCAGTGCTGTCACCTTGCGCGGTGTTGTCGGCCTGGGCAGTGCTGTCACCTTGTGTGGTGCTGTCACCTTGTGCAGTGCTGTCACCTTGTGCATTGCTGTCACCTTCTGTGGTGCTGTCACCTTGTGCAGTGCTGTCACCTTGTGTGGTGCTGTCACCTTGTGCGGTGCTGTCACCTTGTGTGGTGCTGTCACCTTGTGCGGTGCTGTCACCTTGTGTGGTGCTGTCACCTTGTGCAGTGCTGTCACCTTGTGTGGTGTTGTCAGCCTGGGCAGTGCTGTCGGCCTGTGCAGTGCCTTCGGCCTGTGCAGTGCTGTCACCTTGCGCGGTGTTGTCCGCCTGGGCAGTGCTGTCACCTTGCGCGGTGCTGTCCGCCTGGGCAGTGCTGTCAGGCGTTACCCGCCGCGCCTCCCCCTGAGCAGGAACTACTTCTTTCAGCAGCACCAAAGCCAGCGA